CCATGTCTTAAATCTCAAAAGGCAGAAAACCCCAACCAACCTCACAATACATTTAGCTGATTTCAGAGTGATGCATGTTGTGCTCTCCTCTGCTTGGACTTGCCACTAATTGCTCTACCTGCAAGGATACTTCTGTGACCTATATTTTATGAAGCAAGAGATAGAGCAAGCCTGTCTATAAATTTCTTAGTCAGTCATTTAACTGTACATATCTTCTTAAAAATCTCTCTGCACCAACTGACTCAATAGTTTCAAGCAGCACTGAATATGATATGCTGATTCAATGCTGCATCTGGAAGTATTTATTTTTGTTGTTTTTAAATTCATTTCCCAAAATAGATACCACAGATCGGGTCCCCAGCCAAAATCAAGAGATATAGATAAATTGAAATCAATGGAGCTGAGCCATTACCTTGCCAGCCAAAAATACAGCCCTTCCTAAGAGCATTCTTTGCTGCCACTAACAGTATTTTTTGCTATTGCCTCAAAGGTCAGATTTTTAATAGGCTTTTTAATAGGCTTCTACAGCAAAATTTTCTACCACAGAAATTATTACATTCAAAGGACAATCAATAAGGGTCATAGCTGAGGCAACTCTTTCCTATGCACACACAAGTACTTAGTATGTAGCCAGAGCTATTTGTTTGCCATAGTGTTATAATTATTTTTAAATGTTACAGCATAGCTCCAAGATGTATTTATTCCTTGTAGCCAGAATTCTTTTGCTGACAAATTAAAACCGTTGAAATATAGATCAATCTTACCTTAAGTTTTCTCTTATTTGGTTTATAATATATTTATCTGCCCTCTTATTTGGACCTTTCACTTGTTTCATACAGCTGTGTCTCTGCCAGCTTCAGTATTGATACTGTCTTTTGTGTTCGTGTCAGGAAAACTAAAATGAGGCTGTTTCTCTCTAAATTAGATTGCAGCTGTTGCTACATCATTGGCTTATTACGACACTTTGATTTATATCTAACTAGCAAACTAACAAATAAGTCAAGTTACTAACTAGAGCCGCTTTGTTAAGCGCTTGTCTGGCATTGTCTAGATGGGATCAGGTACCAATGTAGGCGTATAAGCCAAGCCTGACATATCCCTTTCAAAGGCATACGTGATTAATGGGGCATTTCATTGCTGCAAGTGAACTCAGGCTTGTTCCACCCCTGAATACAAGTATTGAGGAGAAGTGCCATGACTTAGAGCGATACTCTTTCCCCAGTTACCTTTTCTTAGGTGTAATTTTCCCCGCTATTCTGCACAATGCTGGTGTGCACTTACCAGATGCACATGTGGAAATTGAGCTGTGTGGTTGCTGTTGCTTGCAGCCATTATCTTACTTAACCAAGCATGCACACACACAAGGGAGAAACTCACCACTTTTTCACAGGCATCTGCAGGGAGCACAGGTCTTCCCCAGAGCTTTGCTGGATAAATCACCCCACATAGAGGATGGGCTGGCATCTGTTCAAGCCCAAACCTGCCAGAGGTAACTGCTACATTGACTGTGGGACACCTCAGCCTGCAGAGATGGAACATATGGTGCCACCAGCTCAGGGAAAGCCATGGCCCAGCAGCAGCCAGAAGGTTTTGCTTTACAGAGGGTACAGGAGCACAAGGAAATCCCTCTTGCACCAGGAGAGAGGGAGTGCTCACAGGAAAGACCTCACCAGGTCATCGTTCTGTGCCTTGAATTTTCACATTTTGGGAAAAAAAGCCTCTTTTTGATTCACCTGGAGAAAATTCACAGCATCCAAAATGCGATGTATTTTTGTTTTGTTGTGGATTTTGTTAGTTAGCTGGGGCTCTCAGCGTGGTCCTGCAGTTCTGGAAGGCACCTGGCCCCAGGGCATCCATGGTGGCAGCCAGGGCAGCTGCCACACAGCATCCTCAGACACTGGGATCAGCTAGGCTGGGTGTGTGGTGGGGTCTAGCCCCAGCTGGCGTCTCAGCCCCATGCAGCCGCTTGTCTACTCCCACACAGTGGAACACGAGAGGGAATGGGAAGAGTAAAACTGAGAAAATTCATAGGTTGGGATAAAGACAGTTTAATAGGTGAAGCAAAAGCCATTTACATGAGCAAAGCAAAACAAAGGATTCATTTGCTGCTTCCCATGAGCAAGCAGGTGTCCCTTCCTCCCCAGGAAAGCAGGGCTGCATCACACATAACAGTGACTTGGGAAGGCAAATGCCATCACTGCAAATATCCCGCCCTTTTCTCCTTCCTTCCCAGTTTTATATGATGCCATATGGTCTGGAATATCCCTTAAGTCTGTTGGGGTCAGTCGTCCCGGCTGTGTCCCCTCCCATCTCCTTGCACACGCCCACCATCTCTCTGGGAGGGTGTGAGGCTGAAAAGGCCTTGACTTTGTGTAAGCGCTGCTCAGCAGTAATGAAAACATCCCTCTGTTATCAGCACTGTTTTCAGCACAAATCCAAAACACAGGTCTATGCCAGCTCCCGGGAAGACAATTGCCTGCCTTGGCCAAAACCAGCACAGTGAGATGGCCCAGGAAGGACAAGAGGAAGGCCAGTGCCCGCACTGCTGGTTGTACAGCATGGTCCCTTCAGCAGCTTTCGCAGGGATGCTGCCCACCCATCTGCCTGCAGGGGGGTACAGAAAAGGGATTGTGGTGGTGGCGCAAAAACACCGGCTGTGACCTACAAAGAAGGGAAAGCACCTTAGGTTTCTGGGGTGATTTGAAGGAACTAAACCCTGAAGGTATTTATGCAGCAAGGGTGCTGCTGTACTCAGCTCCCTGCATAGGGCTGCCTAGGGCACCAAGGGACATCTCTGGATATCACCTGGCACATGCACCAAAGGAGGGGAGTGGAGATAACTTCTCAAGTATCCCAAAGCAAGAGCAGCTCCTCCTCCCAGGAGAAAATAGCTCCATTCTTGCCCACCTTATCACCTTCCCAAGAAAACAGGTATGTTAGATTTGCCTGATCTTAGCCACCTGCTTCCTGCTGAGAGAAACAGCTGAAAAATGCACTTCCATATATTCTGCTGCTATATCCACACACCTCTGGCATCAGAATTTTTTTCTTCACTTGACCTTCCTCATTTTTTCCTTTTTTTCCTTTTATTGACTGAAGACCTTTTGGCTCCCTATCCAAAGACCAGAGGAGAAAAGCAAGATAAAGGCAGAAGGAGTGCTGTACTTGAAGATGGGTCACACATTGGATTTTAATTGCTGCTAATACTCCAAGAAAATAAAAGATACCTGGCAAGAGACCAAGGCACAATGCTGAGAAATGTCACCATGTAACAGTAATCAGAGTCCAGAGTCCTGAAGGAGATACACTCAAAAGGGAGCACATGTGATTTCCTGTCGCAGGGTTGACAACTGTTTTATCCAAGGCAGCACAAGGAGACAGTAAATTTCACTGCTGCATTAATATCTTCTGTCTATGTAGGCCTGCTTAATAAACAAAATCTGTTTAACCCAACCGACAGCTAAACACCATACAGCCGTTCATTCACTGCCAGCAGAGTGGGGTAAGGGAGAGAATCAAAATCAAAGGTAAAGCTTGTGGGCTGAGATTAAGGCAGCTTTAAGGAGCAGAAAAGGAAGGGAAAGGATATACAGTGAAAGTGATGGACAATTGCTCACCACCGAGTGCTGCCCAGCCAGTCCTCTCACCATCTCCCCCCAGCTTTTTGTTCAGCATGATGTCATATGATATGGGATATACCTATGGCCAGTTTGGGTCAGCAGCACCCCCTCCCATCTTCTTGCACACCCCCAGCCTTCTCTCTGGCAGGGCAGTATGAGAAGCTGAAAAATCCTTGACTTAGTATAAGCACTGCTCAGCAACAACTAAAACATCAGTGTGTTATCAACATTATTCTCACCCTAAATCCCAAACACAGCACCATGCCAGCTACTATGAAGAAAATTAACTACTACTCCATCAAAGACCAGAACAATAATGTTAAATGGCAATAATGGTAATCATTGCAAATGCTAAATGTTAACTATAATTTCTCACCTTTTGGAAGCTGAAGTACTTTTCCACCAAATGACCCTGGAAATAGCTTTGATAGCACCTGCAGTGAAAAGCTGGAGGCAGGAGTGACGTCTTCCCTGTACTCTTGGAAGATGCACCCTGCCTTCACTTTCAGGGCTGAGATATCTCTGTCCATCACAGAAACCACAGGAAAGGCTCTGAAGAGACAAGGGGCAAACCTTAGCCAGTACAGGTTTACAAAACAATTCCAGGCACAGCCTGGGGAACAGGGGAGGACGGATGGTTTGCTCTCTCCATAGCAACTGCAGCCCCAGCCCACATGCAGAGCCAGCTTTGGGTGTCTGGGTTATGATAGTGGAGTTTTGGGTGGAGAGGTGGGGTGTTTGAGACCTCCTTCTTTTTCTCTTGGCAGAGCCTGATGCTGTGCATGGGAGGGAAAGCCCTATCTTCACCCAGAGCAGCCTCTCTCAGGTGCACCTGAAACCTGTGGACATGGTCTGATCAGCCTTCACGGTGTTTTTGAGGTGGTTTGAGTTTCCAACACAAACATCTGTGGCTGCTATAAGGCCGGAGATCTGCCTCTCTAGAGCAGGGGATGCCCGGGGCCAGGTCTGGGTCCCGCTGCCATTTAATCCTCTTTTTTTTGGCCTTCAGACCTTGCTAATGTAGCATCTCCTTCCCTGTTGCTTTTCACGTTGCTCAAGGAGGTGAACTTTTCCCTGCCTCCCTGGAAGCAGATTTGGAGTGAATTTGTCTGCATTCCCCAATCCACCAGTTTCTTTGCTTTCTGAAATCTCCCTGAGCAACTTCCCAGTCCTCTGGGCAGTGGCCCTCAGTGTTAGGCAGGACCAGGCTTGTCCTGGTTCAAGGCTTCCTTCTGTGTTGTGGATGAACTGCTCTCGTGGGGAGCAAAGAGCAGAAAGCCACAGGGATTCCCGTGCTGCCCAGAGCCACGCAGCCCTGCCACACAGTTAAGCTATCAGCACAAGAGAAATCACCCATATCTGAGATAGAAAGATACAAGGATGAAATATGAAGTGCGGGAGGACGGGGATTCTGTTTGGGACTGGGCTGAACACCACATTCCCCCAGGACCACAGCCAACAAGGGTGAAGTCAGTCGTGGTGCATCAACACCTCAGGCGGGTGTCAGGGACGAGAAAGCAGAGACCGAGGGACAGCACCTGCCGCCCCTGCTCCCTGGTGCCGTTGCCAGCCCCAGCTTGCATCGGCAGGAGAGACGGTCTTTCCTTCCCCCCCACATGAGCACCTCTCACCATCCTTCGGCTGCTCTAGCAGCTCTCCGTTCCCGACAGGAGCGGGAGAGCTCGGCAGCCTCTCGGGGAAACCGCAGCTGAGAAAGGGTCCCAGCTCTGGTGCCTCGCCGCCCCCCTGCCCCGCGGCTCTGGCAGTGCTCCTGGCACTCTCGGGGGTGGCGAGCTGCTGAGGGGCAGCGAGGGCGGCGGTGCCCGGGGGTCGGAGCAGCTCCCCCGGGCAAGGGCTGGCTCCTCGCACCGCCGCCGTGCAACAAGTCCCGGCGCCGGGGAGCGGGAGCACAGCCCGCTGTGCGCCTCCAGGAGCCGGCCTGCCCTGNCCGGTGTCTCCTTGGCCCGGCCACTAATGACCCTCCCATCCTGCGGCAGCCCTCAGACGCTTCTCCCCAGACCTCTCGGGCGGGGTGGGGCACGGGGCTGGCCTCAGAAAATGGCAGCGAGGGAGGAAAGCCCGGTCGAGCGGTGCGGGGCACCCAGTGCGGATCCCCGAGGTGACCCCCTCGCCTCTCTTTGATGCCCCACAGCCGTGCAGCACGAGCGGGGCCCCCGGACGTCGACGATACGGAAGCAGGTGGCTCTCTACTTCCGCGGGCACAAGGAGGAGAGCGGCGGAGCCCCGCACTTCCCCGCTGCCGCCCTGCCGGCGCCCGCCTTCTTCACCGCCGTCTCCCAGCTGGAGCCCCATGGCCTGGAGCTGGCCGCTGTCACCGGCACCCCGGAGAGACAGGCTCTGGTGGGCCTGGCACAGCCCACCCCTAAGGTCAGCCACTGCCCTGGCCCCCGGCGGGCTGCAAACCTTGCTGCTGAGGTGCCTGCAACCTGTCGGCTCCTTCCTTCCTCTGGGATAGACGTGGCAAACAGCAAGGCTTGAAACTTTGTGGGTTGTGGTGGGGACTTTTGTTACATCCCTAAAAGCTGTGAGGATATGAGGTGCAATGCCTTCTGGAGAAGGTATGTGCAGCAGGACCAGAGGGTAACCTGCTCCATACAAACCCTGTCTCTCATACATTCTTATACCTTCATGGATGCAGAAATGGGATGGAGCCCATCCAGTTTTAAACCTTGTTTCACAAGGAATACAGTCCCTGTGAATGAGTTTTCTTCAGAGAAATGCCAATCTGCACAGTGGTATAGTTCAGAAAGTACTTTGTGTACTGACCAAAGCCTGCAGCTTGTCCCCACAGACACAAACCCCACACTTGGCTAAGCTGGCTCTCTGCACTTCTTGGCTGTGACGTTTCCTAAGCAGCCCGGTGCAAGCACTGCTGTGGCCTCAACTGCACAGGAATTAGCTGCAAGGCTATGTTTTTCATTAGCCCATTTGCAAAATGTTGTTTAGCACTTATGATGGGTTCTGCCAAGCTACCTACGAGCACTTTTTAAGTACTTTCTTAAATAGTTCTGCATTTTCAGAGCTGGTCATAACATAAACATGGTCACAACATATAGTTTTAAGTGGTAATTTTGAAAAATGTTGAATCAGAAATTATTTGGCAAGAATATGTAGCACACACTTGAAAACATAACTCCATTCAAACCCTACACAGCCTCTAGATAGTTTTGCCTAGCTCTATGCATCTATTAACAACCTGTTGCAGTCAGGGAACAAGATGAAGGTTTAGGCTAAATTAATATTTACTGCTTTGCTGAGCAGGGCTGGAATGCTAAATCAGCTTCTGAAGAAAGGTTACAAACTACATGTTGTTAATCAAATTTTTATTCTTCTAACTCTGCTATCAAGAGGTGTGCTATTGTGTAACAGAGTAAAGCATGACACAATATTTTGGTACACTTTTTCCCCCCTGATGTAATAATTTCATTCTCCTTTCAACTTCCTGCTCTGAACTAGTACAGTTCATCCACATGGATGAGCAGCAAGGAGCAGTTTGGAGTGAACCCACTGCAAGCAATGCCCTCTGCTTGCAGAACACGAGAGTGCACACTCTGTATTGGGCATGAGCAGGAACACTGAATGTAGGGGGGAGGAAGACCAGGCTGCCTTGGTGACATGGCATGAAATGGCTTTATTTTCTCTTTGACATTAGTACCCACATGAAGTCAACAGTACCCCCATGTATCTCTACGAAGTGGCCACTGAATCCGTCTGCGAGTCAGCAGCCAGACTTCTGTTCATGAGCATCAAGTGGGCCAAAAGTGTCCCAGCCTTCTCCACCTTGTCCTTACAAGACCAGGTAAGGCACTGGCAGCAGGAGTGGCATCGGCCTGGCCTGCCTGTTAAAGAAGGCTCAGACTTCACATTGGGTCCCAAACTTCCAGCCCTAGACCTTGAAATCCGTAATGGACTTCAGCAGCCCTGAAGTTCAGTGCAGAGTTTCAGTCTGTCCCTGAAAACCAGGCAGTGATTTAGAAACGGCTTTCCTCCAACTTTTATCTCATGAAACAAGTGAAAATCAAGCCAGGAAAAAGAAATCTAACATAAAACAAATATAGAAGGACAAGTGCTAGAGGAGAAATCACTGCGCTGCAGACCAAATGTAGCATGCCCAAACTGCTTTTCTACTTGTAGGACAACTTTTTCCTCCTCCTCCCAGTCCCCTCATTCTCCTCTTCCTTTCTCCTACTCCTCCTCTTCTTTTCTCCTCTCAACTGTTTACACAGCCAACATTTTTCCTTATTCACCTTGGCTTACAATTACATCAGCATGGTGGAAGCAGTATTTGGCGACCACCCAATATTTTTTTACCATTAATTAAAATCTTCCCTAATATGTTTTGTTTTCCTCTATGGTAATTTGCCTTTGCCTCAAGTAAATCGTAGGTGAACCGTACAAGATGAAACAATTTCTTAATGACTTGATTCTTGATGAGAACTCAGTGTGCTTTGTATAATGCACCAATTTTTAAAAAAGTAATCAGATAATTGTAAAATGGAAGGGTGGAAATCTACACAAAGCTCCAATCAAAAAAGACCTCTAATACTTTGATATGATTGAGCTCATTTACCAAAATGGTAACTAGAAAAGCTGTGCCATAGATAGATGTTACATAGCAGTTGTCAGAGAAACTAATTCCTCTCCCCAGAAGCACATTACAAGTGTTACAGCTGATATGCAAATATGTATTTTGAACTAAAAGAAAAGAGCTTACTAGGAAACCAATAGTGTTTTCAATCTAAAGGTAAATAATGATGGTCACAATGTGTTATAAAGCTAAGGTATATAAAAATGCTCATTTTCTAGCACCAAACCTATGTTTTGAAATCCTTGTTGTGAAATTAGATAAAGAGGAATGCTGCTCAGCTCCACCTGCAGTCCTGCTACACAGTGAGGGTGAGAGGAGTGATGGGACAGGGCCTGGAAGGTCACACATGCCAGTAGGAAGGCAACAATCCCAGTGTGGCATCCTGCTGCTCTCTAATCCTCTCTTCTGCTGCCACTAGTCCTGCGGAACACTGGGTCTGTCACAGTGAGCAACCAAAGAAACAGGCTCAAGTGCCAGGGGCGAGAAGCAGGTGAGCTGCTCCAGCAGCAGCCCCAGCACACAGGAGGAGACTGAGTCCATCTCTAGACCAGTGATGTCCACAGGAGGCTCCCTAGGCAAAGGGTTTAGCTGACACAATAGGGAGGCATTTCCCACAGTATCATCTCTGTTAGTGTGCGGAGGAGGAGGTGGCACCAGGGTGTGGGAGCAGGGGAAATCCCCATGGCATGTGATCAAGTATGCCTCAAACAGCACGGCCTGTTTATCTACCATGGACACCACAGTGCTCCCATTAAATGACCCACTACCTCTTTCACTTTCATAGCAGGGACTAATCTTAGAGAATAACTTTAGGAACTCAGCCTTTCCTTAATATCACTCTCACTTGCTGTACCTCATTGCAAGTCAGCTTCCTCAAAACTCAGAGCCGCTCAGCTCAAAAGCTTTGATTTGTGTCTTTCTGCATGATTCTTCTGTCATACTTAGGAGAGCTGGAGAAGAAATAATTCTGATTTTAATCACCTTATTTCATGAATAATCATACAGTTGATTTTTATAACATTGCTATTGCTTTATTTAATTTGACAATGGCCCAGCTGTAAATGTCTGCATTTCTCTTTTGGTATCCCTGACATCTGGCTGAGGAGAGACTAAAATCTCTTCCTGAATTTTGCTTTTTTTTTGGTGTTCTTCTGAAAAGGCAAGTGCACTGTAATTTCAGGACTCTGGGGTGGTTTTATCTTGAAGGCAGGGAAATAAATAGAAACCAATTTGCTGATAAAACACAAGTCTGAGCATTGCTGCACTGCATACCTCTGGTAAAACAGGGGCTGTGTCCCTTCCCTACATTCATACAGATAACTCCATCATAACCAGAAACCACACAACAAAAAATGTCATGCTTCTAGTTCTGCTGGCCTGCACCTGCCCACGTTATCTGTGAGACAGGCTGGCCCAATGCAGGTCACCAACAAAAGGTCACACTAAGGATGGGGTTGGTTAAGAAGCAAAACCAGTTATTCAGAAAGCCTGGTGTTTGTTGATTCTTTGAAGAACGAGGGCTGAGTATGACTTCAACATGAATTATTTTAATTGGTGGTTTTACAGACTTATGCATAGGCATGAAGAAAGGGTTAGCTATTGGAATAGTCTCTTATTTCTAAAGTCTTCTAACTTTAAAGACTCGGTGGGAAAGAAAATATGAAATTGATATCTTCCAGGAACCAGCATTCATTACCATTGTATCTGCATGAATGAATGACAAAAAAAGTTTTACAAAAGCAAATTAAAGGCTGGCAAATCATTTCCTATGTCACACAGACACCTGTGCATCCATCAGGTGGAATTATCCAGAGGAGGGGCTGGGTTTGCAGACTGTAGTGGTTAGGAAACCTAAGAGTAGATTCATCTGCTCTCAGAAGAAAGCTGAGATGGGCACCACACTCTAGACACAGCAACCCCTCCCCATCTCCATTTCAGGCAATAATCTGGGCAGGTTTTGGTACTGTAAAATCCAATGTAAATGTTCCAAACAGCAACTGTATGCAGAGACACGAGTACCTTCCTGTCACGATTTCCTTAGATTATGGAGAAATTCTGCAAAGCACACAGGGCAGAAAGGCATAAAATGGACATAATGCTGCTGTGAAAAGTTGAGAACAGAGACAGAATTCTTCCTTCCATTCAGATTGGTACAGGGTGGTTTAAAACTTGTAATCATGGAATCACAGGAGGGGTCAGGTTGGAAGGGATTACATCTGGTCCGACCTCCCTGCTTAAGCAGGGTCATCCCAGAGCACATGGCACAGGACTGTGTCCAGGCAGTTCTTGAATATCTCCAGTGAAGGAGACTCCACACAATCACTTTGGGTAACCTGTTCCAGTGCTTGGTACACAGTAAAGTTTTTCCTCATATTCAGGTGGAATTTCCTGTGCAGTTTCTGTCCATTGGTTCATGTCCTAGTGGTTGGCAACAGGTAGCACTGTCCTGAACAGCAATATTGCTAAGTGTTTGCACATAGATGAAAGATTTGCTTTTACTGATGCTTTCTGTAACACTTACTGTTTTCACATATCTGATTCCAAGGATATCATTATTAATTTTGTACAGCATCTTTTTTTACTTTGTTCTTCTTTACTGACTCTTTACATACTTAAAATATCCTCCTTCCTCTTTTCCTAAGAAGCTAAGCTGCTGATAACTTCAGGGACCATAGCAATATTAATGATTGCAGGTTTTGGGGTTTGGTTTGGTGGCTTCATTTTTTTTCTGCTTGAGTTTTGGGCAATCTGCTTTTACTGCATGGAGCTGCTGCTGGAAGATACCTTCTGAGCCCACTACAGTTCTCACCCCTTCAAACCTCTCCCACCCTATTGTGTGACACAAGGTCCCAGCAACATGTACGCACCACCACATCCCTTTTGCTATGAACTTTAGCTGAACCAGAGGTCCTCCAAACCTCTCTTAAGAGTTGGTCTGGGCTAACAATCTAGATGTATAGATGTCTGTTCTGGCTTTGACAATCTGCATTTCCAGAAGTCTTGTCTCCTCTTCAGATGCACCACTGCCTCTTCAGGGAAATCACAAGCATTGCCTGAGAGAAAACAGAGAAAAACACATCCTCCATACAGCCATGCAATGTGCAAAAGCTGCAGAGAACTAGCAATGCTGTCAGTGTAGGTGCCTGGATATTTGAATCTCTGAAAGGAAACAGCTCTTAGTGCCTGGAATTTCTGAGTGATTTTAAGCAAAAAAGCAGAAAAACATGTATGTGACACTGAAAAATTGTTTGTGTGTCCAGATGCTGTGCTTGACAGATCTAGAGACTGGCTTAGTAAGAAAGGGGTTATAAGATGGATGTGTGCCCTAAAGCACTGCTCCCTACACCGATGCAGGATGTTATCCAGGCTTTTCTTCACAAAATTCTCCCTTCCTGATGGAAAGGAGTGTAGTCCCCAGAGAGCAAGAAGAAAGCACTCATCCAACCTGTCCTAGAACAGCTGCATAAGTGCTGAGGGGGAGGAGAAGAGAACCCATACCATGCTGAGAAAGCAAGTATGTTCATGTTGTGAGCAAATGCTCTGGGAAAAAGAGTTCTCACTCTCTTTCTCTTCCCTTTTGGTCCACAACATGGTGCACAGCGAGCCAACCCTCAGTGTTTTTCTACAATGCATAGACTTATTTCTAGACACCTTCTCAAAAGGCTAAGAGAAGAGTTAATGAATGCTGTGGGGGAAATACCATGACAGGCATTTAAAGTAGTTTTTAAAATAACAGAAATTTACATATTTAAATTGTTTATAAATCTATAAATTATACACTATGTTATATTGTACATCTATTGTATGACAGCTGATGCTTTTGGAAGATGCTTGGAGAGAACTGTTTGTTCTAGGAATAGCACAATGGGCCATTCCAGTTGATGCTAACACTCTACTGGCTGTATCTGGTAAGAATTGCACAATTTAATGACTTTGTTACAAAAATTACCATAAAAATACATTACTGAAAAAAGAACAACATGTAAAGAATAACAAATTCTTACTGAACAATAGAGCATACCTGTCATTTATAAATCTATATTTAAATGCAAATAATGTTGTTTTGTTGTATTCATGACTGCTTGAATTGTCATTTAAATGCAAATTACTGTGTTTGTTATCATCCAAGAGAAGATTTTATATTAACTTTCATACAATATAGTCAGTTTACATGGAACCAGATAGACAAGTGTGACAATAGAGAGGACATTGATACAGAGGATTTTGTCAGAAATCAATATAAAATAAAGCAAATGCCTTTAATATTATTTATTTCATCTGTTTCTGTTTCAGGCATGAACGGTGACAATACAGATTCTCAGAAGCTGAATAAAATTATTTCAGAAATACAGGCTTTACAGGAGGTTGTGGCTAGATTTAGACAACTTCGGCTAGATGCTACTGAATTTGCCTGTCTCAAATGCATTGTCACTTTTAAAGCTGGTAAGCAGAAAGGATCTCTCGTTTGTCTGGGCTAACTATGTGGTTGCTGCTTTAAAGTGAAAATGATGTTTTAAACCAGGCATAGCTTTGTATCTCCCAGTAGGTTTTCCAACATTGAATTCCAATAGTCATTGCTGCATTTTGAAAGGGCTGACAGTGGAGTGCTGGGGAACTAATGGGAACATTTAATTTCCATTGATAGCACTAGCTGAACTGTTTTGATCCACCCAAGAGTCAAGCTGAACTAGTAACTGATCTGCTTTCCAGTGCCCACACACAGTGGTTCTGAACTGAGGAGTTTCCGAAATGCTGCTGCCATAGCAGCCCTTCAAGACGAAGCCCAGCTCACCCTGAACAGCTACATTCATACCAGGTCAGTGGTGTCATCTGTCAATGCTTCTGGCAGGTGTAGGGCTAACATCCTCCTCTCGTTGCACGGAAGGTGGCATTTGCACAGACTGAAGTGGGGACCAAGCTGCTATGGAGAGTATAGATTGGCTGTCAGCCTGCTGGGGTTTGGCATTTCCTGATGAAATAGAACCATAGAAAATGTTGGAAAGGATCCTCAAAATCATCCGGTTCAACCATTAACTCTGTCAAGTCCGTCATTAAATCATGTTCCCAAGTGCCACATCTACATGTGTTTTAAATACCTCCAGGGATGATGACTCCACCACTTCCCTGTGCAGCCTGTTCCAATGCTTGACAACCTTTTTGGGAAAGATATTTTTCCCAATATTCAAACTAAATCTCCATTGGTGCAACATGAAGCCATTTCCTCTTGTCTTATTGCTTGTGACTGGGAGCAGGGACCAAAACCCATGTCGCTACAACTTCATTTCAGGTAGAGAGTGATAAAGCCTCCCCCTGCCCTCTTTTTCTTCAGATGGAATAACCCCAACTCCCTTAGCTGTTGCTCTAGACCCTTACCAGCTTCGTTGCTCCTCTTTGGGTGTGCTCCAGCACCTCAGAGTTTTTAAACAAATAGAAAAGTGTTAAAAGGAAAGCTCCTCCTCTGGGAAGTGATACCAGCTGTGCAATACTTTTCAGCTCAGAGGCCTAAATTTTCCTCTACATTTTATTCAATCAAATATCACTAAAAGTGATACTCAAAAAATCGCGTCTCAGAGCAGTATGAGTGCCTTTCACCCACTATGGGAATCTCCAGTTCCCATATAATCTCCTCCATTTCGCAGACACAGAAATCAGGACATAAGGAACTTAAGTGGCTCTTCCAAGATGCTGCCTAGAGTTTGTGCTCAGGTTCAAATGAACTTGTGAATCCCACTGTGGCGCCAGAGCGAAGTCCTTTAGTTGCAGTGGAGGTCCATGAGACTAAAACAGAGATGGAGCAGTGGAAGAGGAACTTTTATACCATTTTTTACCTCTGAAGCTTTGATTGCCTGTCAGGCAGAAGTCCTATCAGTATCAGAGATTAAATGGCAGCAGTCTCTGAAGCACTTCTATTAGTCTACAGGGAATAGCCTGCACTGGGGATGGGAGTAAAAATGCAAATTCCATCCAGTTATGGCTGCTTCAGAGCAAAAAGAGGAACCGCTGCATAGCAGTCTCTTCCTGTTCTTAAGGAAGGCCTTTTCCATGAAGATTGCTCTCTGGAGTCCTTAAGTGAGACAGGGCCTGTTGAAGAGAGAAGCCAGGGAAGAATACATAGCCACATCTTCCCTTCCAAGAGAACAACATTTCCACAGCATTTCTGTGTTGCTGGAAGTATTTAGATACTGTGCTAGCCATTGTATACTGTAAACAATACCCTTTGTAAACAATTCCTTACAAAGGAAAAGTGCAGTCCACTGACTCAGACTCCATTGTGAGAGGGCTTTCAGCTTGTGTGTTTCATCCTTAGGCTTGAATTTACCCTCCTGCCAATGTCACTGCAGTATCACCCCTTTGATCCCAGTGGAGTCACTCTCAACATGATGCAAGGGAGGGCAATCTGGAGAAGCAGCATGTTTCTCCAAACACTACACTTTTCTTTAGGGATAAAAGATTTAGGGAGAAAACTTTTGTAAGCAGAAGTTTGAGAATCACTGTTATAAAGACAGCATAAGCACAGCTAGAAATACACATCCTATGCTGTTTTGGCTTCGAAAGCTGGGAGAAAGGATGGAAAACATCACATACACACATTACCTGGGGAAAAACACAGCTTCTTTAACAAAAACTTTCCTTACAAATGTCAATTGGTATTCAGTATATCTGCTAACCAAAAGGGGGTAAAGTGATTACCATGACAATCCAGCTAGTCTTAAGCTGTACTTCAAAAAACAGGGTAGTTACTGCAAGTCAAGCTCTTCCCTGAACTGCACTGAGAACATTGCTGTGTGAGGGACACATCAGAGCAGGTCCAGTTTTTGTATTGCTACTGCTCTAGGGGAATGAACAAAGGAGCTAAACAAAACTCAGAAACCTTGTCCTATATTCTGCTGACTGCCCCAGAGTTTTCCTTGGAGTCAACCTTCTTGCTCACACTAGTACAAAACACAGGGTTTTGGCACAGTGTCCTGGGGGGACACAAGTATCCCACTAGATTCTGAGTCATTCCAGACCTTGCAGACTGCCCTTAGGTAGAGGTTATGGGATTTCCTCCCAAATTTGTCTCAAACTGGGACACACAGGTTAGCACCGCCACCATTGCGCAATTCAGCAAATATTGGTCTTTTTCTGTAAAATAAAGTTCTTCCTTTGAAAAAATACTTTAAAATTTCAACAAAATTCTTTTTCTCTCTGTCTCCCAGGTACCCCACGCAACCCTGTCGTTTTGGAAAACTTCTATTGCTTTTACCAGCTTTACGTTCAATTAGTCCATCTACAATAGAAGAAGTGTTTTTCAAAAAGACCATTGGGAATGTACCAATCACAAGACTGCTTTCAGATATGTACAAATCCAGTGACATATAAATTACCTTAAAATAAACAATCAGGATGGACAGTCTGAGAAGAACTTCTATCTATGGAGAATAAGCCTCAACTAACAAAATCTACAGGAAGCATAAGCCTGGGAATGTTTAGTCCTTAAACTCATTGACAAAAAAATACCCCAGTAGATATGATTCTGCTGCTCTGAACAGAGTGATTTAGATCATGGAGAGAATGCTTTGTTCTATAGAAAAAGTGAAAGTGGTTGGAATTTGGCTGCTATTCCTGTTACTACAGGATGGAGGCAATTCATATGCCAGTCATAGTTAACAAAGACTCTGCTATTCTCTCATTTAACTGGCAGATCTGAGACAAAATGTGAAAGAAGGTACTTTAGGTTGTTCAGTATTTGGAACCGGGTGACCAAACTTGGCTTCTGTTGTAACACAAGATGTGGTGGCCTTCAGAATTGTTTTAAAAGTAGCCTATGTTGGGAAAGTGTTTTTAATATGATAGGCAACATTTGAGATCAAGTTACCAAAACATTGCTTCTGCTATAATACATCATGAAGTGGCCTTCAGAACTGATTAAAAGGTAGCTTATGACGGCAGCTCCATTCTTCCTACAAAATGAACTGGTGATCTTTGACGTGGATGTCACCACAATTTGTTCGGTTAACATCTCAAAGACAGAAGAGCTTTATACATTTCCTCCCCGACCTTCCCTCCTTCTTCCACACACACGGACATACACTCACACACACACATACACACACACACCTGAAAAGAGACAACACAAGAAAGGAAGACTAAAACAGCAAAACCAAATACAATGGAGATGACCGCTTCAGTGATCTGCTGGCTGTCCCGCTGGCACAGTGCTGAAACCAAAGGCAACGGTGGCCAAACTCTTTGTTGATTAAATGTGCAGAGAAATGAAATGACTATAAAAAAATCCATGGAAGGAATTTTATTTCAAAGAAATAAAGGCTGTTGACTGATACACTGCTAACTATTTCCAAAAGTCTCCAATGCCTTTTTAGAAATCTCCAGGTTCTAATTTTGAAGCCTTGTTCGCCTACACCCTCTCACACACACGAACGTTATAAGCTGCTTATTTGATGTATGAAAAATGTAGAAAAAAAACATTTAAAGATAGCTGCTGTACTTTTCAAAATTTGATTTGTTATTAGAAACTAGCACTGAGAAAGATCAGCACTTGAACTATCATAGAATGAGTAAAACTTTTCCTGTACAAAGTGGATTAACCGATTTGTGAAGTTAAAAAGTTGTACTCATTGTATTTACAAAGAATAAAAATATATTGAATTTAAATTACTTTCCACTGTTCTTTTAACTGTTGTCCTTAATCAGCTTCTTCCACTGTCCCCTACTTAACAGGGAATAGAAAAATTCTTTACTAAAATGGATTGCCCTAGATCCTGTGGAGTTTCCATCACAAGAGGTTCTTAAAAACGGGTTAGACAAACATTAAAGGAGTAGCTTAGGTGATCCTGCCTTGTGAGATCCTGCATAGAGCTTTCTGTAACCCAACATGTAGCTTTTGCTAGGATGCAACACCAAGTGCATCAGAGGTCTACCCCAGTTTGTGCCTTCTGTTGTATGTTATTACAATTTTTAGTATCAGTGAACTGTGCAGCTAACAAAAGGTGATGAGCACAAAAGCACTGCTTCAATTAAAAAAGACTGAGGTTTTATTAATGTGTCTAACTGCATGATCACACCAAAGAAGGAGGGAAATAACTCCAAATCAACAGAACAACTTGGCAATAGTAGGAGGGAAATGTATTGTTCACATGGCAATGAGTAATTGAAGAACAATGCATGCTAAAATGACAGGTGGAAATATACTGTGTGTATTGGTGGCTCATTGGTTTGCAGTGTCAAGGAATACAGGTCACAAGTGAAATCCTAGCTCTGTTGACTTGCAAGCTCAAAAATCTCATATGTTTCAGAGGTCAAAGTTTTAACCCCAGCTCTCCTCCATCTGCAGTCTGCCGGGTCTCACATTCTATCTTTTCCAAGACAGACAGACCCTAAATACACAACATGAGTCACAGGCTATGAGACCTCAAAGTATCTTCCATACAAACTAGCTCAGAGCACTTAAAAAGGCACTTATTACAGGGCACAGCACATTCTTAGAAAGAAAGCAACATTCTTCCTGCACCTGTAATCATTTTCTGCTCTTAACACTAAAAAGGGCCTGATAGGACAGAAAAATTAATTGTCGTTCTCCACTTTGTGGCAATTCAGTTTATGAGCTAGAGAAGCAGAACCCAGTGCTGCACAGAATCCATCACAGAACATTCATTTCAGTAAGATTCATGCTGCTGTCCCAGAGCAGCAATAAACACGGACTGCATCCACCCTGCTAGGCAACAGGGCAATCACACCCTGCAGTTTGCTGTAGTCCCAGTCCCTACATCACCCAGGCTAGAGGACAAAGCAGAGCGTACTGGCAAAGCAGGCAGGGCAATGGGACCACACCCATATCTCATCCTCTTACCTGCAAGACCTGGCCCAGCTGCAGAGCACACTCACTGGGAACAGTGCCCAGATCCCTATGGTTTAGGCACAGCTAATCTCAGACTGTGTCTTGCTCTCACTACTGCACATTGCACTGAAGCACAACCAGGTACACTACACTAGAATTAGGGTCTCTAGATAGCCTTGAAGGACTGAAGGCCAGGTGAGATCCCAGAGTGCTATACAAACACCCTGTCATTCTAAGAGACTAATGGTCCAAAGTCCTCACTTCCTTTGGAAACAGGAATACTTTGACATCAAGCATGCAGCTTTTCCCTCTTCAGCTTAAATATTTTGGTTTTTTTCATAGCAAATGATATTGATTGTGTCATCATCTTTCAAGTTTAAGATATGGCATTTACTTTGATTTCTGAAAGAAGCTTCTCTCAGAAAATAACATTCGAAAAAAGAAAAATAACAACTTACTCTGTATGTAAACCTACATAATAAAACTTCAACACACTGAATCTTTCCCCCTTTTCAAGAACAACTCAACCTTTAAGGGTGATTCAACAAGAAGAGGGAAATTTAGAAATTATTTACATTATCAAAAAAATCTTGAAAAGTGAGAGCCCTGGGCTGCAAATGGACTGTCAGTTTTGGTCCTTGGTTTAGTGAATAGAATGGTTAGAGAGAATCAGCACAGTCTCAGTTAAGTATGAGCCTTGCACCTAAATTTAAATTATTCAGAGCAATTATTCAAACACTTATCTCTTCAGTGTAGCTAACCACGAGTACTATGTGTAATCCAGCCAGTCACCACTGCCTTGTCAGTTCAGTCTTTTACGTTCAGATTTCCATAAATGAGGTTAATGGTCTTAGTTAAAAGAAGCTACTAATTTTGCCATCAACTTTGTAGGATGCTCTTTACAGAGGTGTTGTATGAAGGAAAAAAGCAACAGAGCTAAGCCAACACATCGGTACCAAATAGAAAGAACACTAGAGCAAGCTGCTGCTAGAGTTCTGGAATCTGCTGTCAAGAGCATCTGGATAGGCAATTTCCATGTCATTCCATACATTTGGAAGACTAAGGAAGCTTCTCTAGCTCACTTCCTTCTCATATAAAAGACAACTTCAGCAGTGCTGCCTGTGAACTACAGTTCAGCCATCCAGCCCCTGCATTGCACCAGTGGTCAAACCAGCACAATGTTACAGCTCTCCCTTCCTTTAGAGTTCAGGGAAGTGGTCTATGATCACATCTTACATCAGACTTGTACTACTTCATGTACCTAATTCTATCTGTAGAGCAGAGCTATTTTAATCTAGGAATGATGTTATAAGTTATGTAAATATTCCTTTCTCTATAGGGTTTCATAGTTTTCACTAGCTAGTTGAAGCTAGATTGATGCTTTTTATGCCAGGTAGATAGGTATCCTTTTCCCAATTAAAGTCACAGACCTGTTGACTGCCTACCATTGGAGCAGTATTCCAACTTTGGCTCCACAAGACAGGAACAGCCTTTAATAGCTTTATATGCTCTTTAACACTTGCAGAGTGTGAGGGTATCAAAGGGTACTTAGTGCTGACTGTTAGTGATACACAACTACATTGTGGAAGAGCATCATAGTGGGGTTGTAACACCAGTTCACTTAGCATAGTGAAACCCCTCCTCCTCAGAAAGCATGAAACACTCAACACTCAAGGTCAAGAGTGACAAAACATTTGAAGTGCATTTTCACTTTTATTTCAAAACTTTAGACAAGTTACTTTAGTATATAAATTCAATTTTTTCCTCTTACAGAATATAAAGATAATTCCCTCATTACTTCAGTATAAAGTGTTTTACAAGCTTGAAGACAATTGCATAAGTGTTTCTCATACAGGATATCAGAAATAAAGCAGTCTTTCTACAGACATTCAGACAGGTGACTACCTCAGAAACAGCATAGCAGTTTAGTCAAATACAAGTGAACACGTGACACTACAGTTGTGAAAGTTCAAGTAAGGCCAAGTCAGTAAACATTGTTAAGTCATTGCAAATAATAGTGGAAAGGTTTGTGAGACATTGCAAGGGGTGGATGGTTTCATAGTGTAATACTCTCAAATCAAGGATTCAGAGGGATTTAGCTAGAAGACAAGTGAGTTCTTAAATGCTATAAAGCATATGCAAAGACCAAGCAGTGTACTGGTATTAGTGGAGACTTCGTGCCTGTTCATCCTCAGCATGCTAAGACAAACTACAACCTCTTAAAACCAAGCATAAGAACCACTAATATTTGAGGAGATGCTTTTAAAATTCAAGTATGTCTTATTTTGGATGGTGTGTAGTTTTTATCTATTACTTCATCTTGTAAGAACATGTGAAGACAACGCTCGTTCTGTGCCAGTGGGTGGCCTGCAACCCTGGAGAGAAAAAAAAAACAAGCATTAGTGTGGACCAATTGAGCCTAAATGTAGCTATCCTGCAGGTCAGGGTTTTGTACCAATAACCTATTGTTCTGCATAAATCCCACTTTCACTTCATTGTTGGCAACTAGAATGCTGTCTACCATTCTAGCATGTCTAGCAGCAAGACTTATCACACTTCTCCAGGTGAAGTTAATCCATAGAAACCTTGAGCTACCTCTGATCCCTTGGAAGCATGTTAAATCATTTTTCACCTGCAACTGATGGGACTATTCATGTAAGTGCTCATTCTAGTATTAGGAAATCTGGAGCTAAGAAAGGCAAGAGGATCTTTTTTTAAAAAGATCTTAATGTATTTGCCACGGGACACCCTTCTAAAGGCCATTTATCCCCTCAGTTGTGTCACTGAGCAGCAGCTTGTCCCAGCAGAGCTGAAGCCTGGCTCCAGCAGGGGGTGCGAAGGCTTTCTGAAGGCTCAGGCACTGCTCCAGACACAGATTCCCCAGGGTCAGTGTCCTGGCCTGTATGGGCACCACTGCACATAGCCAGGGGGTACTGGCCCTTCTGCTCATTGCACATATGGTAGCTTGCAAACACAGGAGATAGAGTTTGCCTGTTCTAGGGGACACCAGCATCTCTACTGTAGATTTAATTTAAGCTGAAAAACCATCCTTTTAACAGTAAAGGAGCTGAAATTGAATTAGGAGACACTCATAAACTTGGAAGAAAATCAGAAAGTATTGCACTTGAACCTTTAAAATACCATGCAGATTCCTGCATAGGTAAAAATCCAAAAGAATCAGATACCTGGAAGTTCATCATTTATGGACACTAATACCTAATGCAGTTTGATCCGAAAAAAACTACATCCAGTTTGGTCACCCAAGACAAACTTCTTCCTTTAGGAGAGAAAGTCTCCCATTGTCCCAAGGCAGCTTGTGTAAGCCTTGTGGACTCCATATCTGTCAGAACATTTCTACCCATAATGGAAGTCATCTGGATGAACAGATGCAATACATATTCAGCTCCAATGGCTCAGCACCACTTCCAAGCACTTCTGTGCATCTTTTCCAAATTTATCTATTAGTGTTTATTTCACCACCGAACATACTCACTTGTCACTACTGACTTATCATTGAGGGTGACCTCCACTGAGGAAGCTGACCTCTCCTATTTAGTATTGATTGATTACTTCGAGTGCAGTATAAAACACACCCATCTTGCCAGGTTCTAGTAAAAGGCCAGCAGTCTCAAGCACTAGTTCACAAGGATGACAGCCTAGAGTAACTAGTTTGAGTTTCTTACCCCATCAGAATGATGCTACCAGTGTTAACTTCAAGGAGAAGATAAACAGGAGGGGATGAGGAAGCAGCAAACTTCTTCCTTTCAGGAAGTCTTCCTTTCAGAAAATTGGTGGCTGAATTGCAAGACTAGATCTGATCTGAGTCAGCTCTTGGTTTCACAGGGTTACCTCACTCTGCGTTGGCTTTCCCCCTATATTTTTCACCAAGGTGACCCTTACACATAGCAGCTGCTACTTCAAGAATTTTCATATATCTCAAAGTCAGGCTGAAGCAGACAACAATGTTGAGACCTAACACCCTTGTGAATGTCACTGTATGTAGTATTGATGGTGGTGCCAGCAAACTGGCCCAAGACAGCTGACTCAAGCAGCACTGTTGTGATTCAGATTTTACATCTAAAGGGACAAAGCTTCTCAACAACATCCATCTCACACTCACAAAATATTAAGAACTAGCATCAGTGCACCAAGATTTTTTTTTGTTCCAGTGGTATCAGTTATCCGAGGGACTCTTTAATTCCAGAAGCAAAGTTCAGCTTTGATTATGCAATAATGTGAATGTACTGTGCAAAGGACCTTCAGGTCTAAGTTCACTAGTGCTTCACCAGAGTACTTGGCAGAAGCTTTAAAGCTTCTACATGGTTCAAAACTTTAGTAATATTTACTTAATGAGTTGGTCATGTCATTAGAATTCACTGATGAATTAAATTGCTATGATTTGTGCCTGGAAAGCCTTATTCCAGATATACTCAACTCTGCCACTACATCAATATCTACATTAATCTTCTTTTATGTTTCAAAGGAGGAAAAATTAACCAAGTAGTTTTACACTTCCACAAAATCAATTTATTACTTTCAGTAGGACTTAGAAATGGGTACTGATAAATTGGCCATTCCATTTCTCTCAGCTATAAGGAGTTTTTCAGAGAGTCAGATGACTGTTTCACATCAGCTGTTTCAGAACACCAACAGCCCTCTTCCATGCATATTTCTAGACTCAGCATACAAAACTTGGAGTAGGTGCACTTTTTCTCCATTTAAGATAGAGTTCCAAATGAGCATGGATACAGCTCGGATGCCTTGGAAGTTTATTCCACTTGTCTTTGAACAGCAAAAAGAGCAGTCTGAAGCATTTAACCTGTTCAGAACCATCAGCAATACTTTTAAAATGAGTTAAGAAGCAACAATGTGAAGAAAAATTTCAAAGATTTCATATGGTCACACTTACTTGTACAGGACAGACAGTTATAGTGAACTTGTCACTTGCAACTCCAAGACACATGTCTGAACTAACAGTAACTAACAAGTACATTTTCCTAAGTTTGGCATAACTCACAGGCATCCTCTGTTCCTGTTAAACAGCATTACTATTGAACAAGATTAGAATGCCAGGGATACTAACAGGCTTGAACTCCCTGATGGAGCAGTCCCAAATCCAGTTGGTCTGAACAGCATTGACTCTAGGGACCAGAAGAGCTGGTTAACTGATAGCACTCCTTACCCACTGTTTGGATCCACGCTGTTAAAGAGATTAAACCAGCTATTCAGGTCAGTCAGTGTACAGACAGTGGTTAGTAGTGTCAGATAGTGGAAAAAGAATCATAAGACTTTGTTACTATAATTTCTGTTCATCATTTGAAAGGCAGGGACAAAATCCAAAGTGTGTATTTCAAAATGAGTGTGCATACCTCAAGTAGCATTTTTACTTCAGAATCTTCAGAAAGATTCTCAGGATGATTAGAGAAAATATGCATCACTACACAAACTGGTATTACTTCACATCTGCAATCAAAGTCAACTGCTGTAAGCTCTACTGTTCACCCAGTTGGAAGATACTTTTCCAGAAATTATAAAGTAGAATTATTTTCACCACTACCATTTTAGTAGCAATTTGCATAAATTAACAACACTAACAGTCATTTCAGCTGTTCAGGTAAGCACTAAAATATCCAAACAAAATATGGGATGAGTAATGTTAGTACATCCTACTGCAACATTACATGAAAGATAATATTCTGAACCTACTGAAGTTACCATCCTTAGGAGGACTAATAGCTTCAACTCAGTTTTCCAGGGCTGAGCTCCAGGTTTGTCTCTAAATAACCAGATACAACACTTACTTGTTTATGAATTGTTCAAGAGCCTGCTTCCTTTCCTCTATAAAGGAATCATCAAATATACCATCATCTCCTCGGAAGGGGAGCTGACGGAGAAGAGCTTTTCCTGGTAGAGGTGGTACCACAACCTGAAAGATTTACAGAAGTGTCCTTAAGTGCAGCCTGTAAGTGAGTTCATCTGCCTCTTCTTCCTAGAAGACCAACTCACCAGTCACATTCCCAGTGAAGTAATAAAACATGAGCAGAGAAGAACAGTACCTGCCCAAACAGGTAAGCTGAAATCAACTAGTTTATCTCTGAATTAACTCAAAACTATTAAAACAAAAAGCCTCTATCATTGCAGCACTGAGGCCAGATAAAGAGACTGACACACTGGTTTATTTCTGGGCATTTTCAACCACAGTATTTTCTTTATATGATACACGCTTTATAACATAATGAAAACATTTCAGGATCATGACTCCTTGTATATCTTTGTATATGAAGACTTGTATTTACTTTTCACTTTACTCACCTTGCTTTCTCTTTCTAGTTCATTCCTTAGCCATTCAAAGTCACTATATCTTCTTCTGACTGTAGATTCTTTCAGTTTGAAGATAGGTAGATTTGTCTGAAAACAAGAACACGAGCTATTGATTGGACAGATTAGAAGTCCTGACAAGCAGAAGCAAGAACCAAGCTGCTAAGTTACACATTAGTTTCATTTAAGCAACAACAGCAGAACTGAGAACCACTCAAGGTAGAGAAATAGAGATAAGGCTCTAAGCCTTATCTACTACTTATCTACTCTTACATGAGTAAGCTGTGCCTCGAACTGCATACCTGTGAGCCTCTTTTGTATGGTAACCCAATTATTGGTATTTTGTCATCGTATCACCAAGCAGAATATCTGATTTCCTGGCCACTTGAGATGTTTCTAAGGTTGCAGAAGCATTTGCTATTCTTACTATCTCAGATGCCAGATTTCCAATATATACAAAATTGGAGGTGGGGAAGGAAGTGGGAAGAAAGTCTTATTCCACACAAGTTTCTCTTACTGCATTCAAGGAATGTTTCAAGTATCAGCATTGACTACAGAGTGAAATCAAGCTGAGCATGATTATGGAAAGCTTTACTGAACAAGGCTAGGAGGCAGCAACCAAACCTAACAC